ATCTATCTATCTCTCTCTCTATCTCTCTCTCTCTATCTATCTATCCATCTCCATTTCTTACTCGCTCGCTCTCACGTTCTCACTCTTGCACTCATTACAGAACGCTCTGCGGGTGTAAATTAGGCAGGAAAATATGCGTCAAACATTATAACCAAGTTCATGACGAGCGATGAATCTCTCTGAAAAGCGGCGGCTATACCACCGCTTGGCACTTGGCCGCCGCGTTAATTATTCATGCTGATGTGCTGAATAATACAGAAGCATTAGAGCACCTGCCAGTCGGGGTGCAATCGCTCCCCCAAGCGGCCACAAATCTAGGTGACCAGTCGATTGAGATGGTAGTCCCTGCTGCGTGTTCGTCGAACACAGGGTAGGCCTAATTCGCTTCCCGCGTAATGGAGACATGACCGATCGTCTGTTACGTACTCTAGTCTGTTCCTTTGTGCTAGGTATAGGCCTATATACATCATGCAGTCGAAAGCCTTATCACGGAAACACACCGAGGCGAATACCGAGATGTGCGCAATATCGTATACGCATATTAGTGGTCGTAAAATTAGGTGCTGACTCGCGTGAGTATAGGGGGAGGGGAGGGTGGATGTGGGGATGTGGATGTGTATATGGGAGAGGGGAGGAGGATATGGGAGGGGTGATGACAAGAGACAGTGGTTAAGCCACGAGCGAGAGTCGGTGTACATAATCACCGTTCAGTTTGTCAGGAAACGTATGTTCTAGCAGAACATGGAGCCACCGGGCATTCATTGTTCGATAACGATTCGCAGCAGCATTGATGCAAGAAGGCGCATTGCGGAAATTAGACTGCTAGTGTCGGGGATATTCGATGACTCACCACCACATATATATACATATATACACGTCTTTTAATATAGATTCCGTGTTTTCGCGATAAAGCAGCTACAGATATCTTGTTTGTCTAGATTCTAACGATTGTCTGTATTAAACTAATATGTCGAGAGATGTAGGTAAATGACAATTTGAATGTCACATATACAAGGCCAGTTGTATGTACAAACGCACGCACGCACGCACGCACGCACGCACGCACACATATATATATATATATATATATATATATATATATATATATATATACTGCTATAGGACTGGAAATTCTTTTATCACAAATTTTTTACGAGAAACTGAAATGGCTTTACGTAGATTTCGTATGATACGTATTACAATTCATTGGTCTAATATATACCCTATTATTGGAAAAGCGTGTATCACTAACGGCATGATAATAAATTAAACTTACATTATTACATAAACTAGTGCTATCATTTTTAAACGTGCACACTTTAAATTCATAGCGTGGTACTTTCATCAAAAAAATTTGGCGATATTAGCCTTTATTATTAATTATGGCTTGTATTGACCAACTAGTGCAATGTCGATGTATGTATCTAAACGCTCAATCTGTTTACTTCTACGGTGCAGATAAAGACTGTAACTGACACTGAAGGCTTCATATAGCGCGCACACCTCATGGCTGCTGACATTATACTAAAACTCACGATTCTCCTCTAGTGAACGTACAATTTCCCCGTAGGCTACTTTTGCACTCTGAATAACATGGAAAAAATGTTTCGCGTGTGGCCTGTAAGCAGCTAAACGACATTCATGTACTGTTACTTCATCAAAGCCCCACCGACATAGGTTCCTTTCAATAACATGAATCTATGAACGCCTGTGGCAGCACAAACCAGTAGGCTATATAATTTTTACCAATTCCAACGAACTTCTCTACTATTCTACTGTACAACTAATGTGACGTGACCTTCGGGTGAGAATATATTGCTCCCTCATCAACAACAAAACGTCCAAAATCTTTTACAAAGTAGTCATTTATTTACAGAGTTCTTACACGGTTCTTTGTACGTATCCCAGTACGACATTATGTGGCATACTTGCGCTAGAAACAGCTGTTAGCCAAGCCACGTCTGTTACAAGTTTAGCTCAAACAACACAACACAACACATAATGTAATGTCGTTTCATAGGAAAAAACACGTATTCCCTCCGGATTCAGCAAAAACGCGCGCGCTTGGGACGACTAAACATTTTACATTCTTCACAGGTCATTGAGAATGGCCATTTTCTTAGATGTGGACACAATAGTATTGACAAAACACCAAACACAATTACAGCAATCAGACACTACTTAAAAGACTAATTACAATGCACACGGTCATATTTACATTGAGTGTGCTTAGACAGCATCATTCAGCAAGGGCTTCCCGACAACAGTAACATTTACTGATTGAGTGGCTTTCACAATTCAGATTTTACGATTTAATGAGGTTTTTTTTATGAATGAGCACTCTTTCCGCCAATGTGTTCTTTCACACAGCATCGCGCCCGTGCCTGCCAGCCTGCACATTTGCGCGCATTTGCCTTGATGCTGTTGTTAACAATAAGATTGCGGTGATTTCTGCTGATATAGGAAAGAAAAACCACCGAAACCAACGTGTTTCGTGCGTGCAGACCCCTTCAGCGACGGCAGCCACTCACACACGCAGAAAACGAACACATCTTCGCGTGCGACGGCAAGTCGTGGAGCTCTGCAGCTGACTCCCAGTATAAAAAAAAGAGACGAGCGAGTAAAAAAAAACCCTGACGAAGATCTGTCGAATGCTACGCAACTTTGGAAAGGCATACACGCGTGTAGTATAAAATACGTTTAACCACATGTGTATACGATCTCAATAACTGTCAGTCCTCTGCTTCTTTACGGGCCTGTACGCCGGATCTGACTGTTTGCCTTTAGACTTGGCCGGGCGGCCGCTCTTGCCCTTCTGCTGTTTCTCCTTGCGAGTCGGATTCAGTAATGGATGGACTTCTGTAACATCATGTCAATGGTCACGTGCCAACAGTTACGATGGAGCTTAGACCGACTCCAGGTGTCGTTGAAAAAATTAACCCTTACGAACTCAGGCACGGGGGGGGAGGGGGGGGAAGGTTGAACTCATTTTACCACATGCATATATCGGTATGATTATTGTTAATTCTCGATGGCTTATATTATTGATTCAGTCTAATGATACTGCACATCTTTCCTGCATCAAATGCATTAATTTTATTATCCATGTAGAAAGAAGCCAAGATGAGACGATATGCATGCCGGCATCAGAGCAGAGAATTGTGAATTAACCATCCACTTAATCGCAATCAGTTGCTACACACAGTGGCCAAACCGAGATAAAATGCTCTTAGTTTTACTGATTTTTTTAATGAGATCGTAGGCTCGAGTGATATCAAGTCGAGCAACATCTAGTCACTTGAAATACGAGCCTAATAAACATGTATACGTACCATCGTACGGCGCATTTTCTAGTTCAATGTCCACCACTTTACTCTTCTTTTTCTTTCCACTTCCCTGCTCGGGTGACGAGTGCTTCTTTGCACTGCTTGGATCATCAGCCTGCATTATTCAGAACGAAAAACATTTACTCACTCAACTATGTTCACTGCATGTTATGAACAAAAGTTAATTGGCAATAAAAAGGTTTTGTATGGCATTTGTTTCTACGGATGGACGATGTAAACGAATTACTACGGCTCATGCATCATAGATAAGCATTATAAATTATGAATATTAGTAAAAGTTGAGTTGGTTGAGTGAAAAAAAAACAATGCTTCTTAAATGGAAATAAATACAGCAACACATACATGCATGCTGGTGTACGTACGGTCTCGTACACGCACGCTCACCACTGCACACACGCACGCACGCACTAACGCAACCACACACGCACGCACGCACTAACGCAACCACACACGCACGCACGCACGCATCTACGTATGCACGTACGCGTATATAAGCCAACTACACATCCAAAAGCGCAACCGTCAGTAAGCAACCTCCATCTTGCACTGACCACGTTATGTGCACTTTTACGCGTGGGAGACATTTCAGACAATAAACCACGAAACGGTCTGTGTTTTTAATGTGCAATCACCATCACTTGACCCTGACTGAGTAAACCGCGGCCAACGGAGAGCAAATAAAGCAGCTGCATAGACGGTCAATAGGAAACGGCTTTTTCTTAATTGAATCCGCCTATCACGTACGTGTCTCCCCTCCTCTCTTTAGCTGGCAGCGTGTCTTAGGAGTGGTGGCAACCGCAGCACAACCAATATTTTCCTAACGGGAAAAATCTATAGGGGCATTCTGGTCATTCCCCGCTGCAACCGTTTCTCTAGCGAATAGCTCATGCTAGCGTCCAAGCTAACGTTGATATCCACTGACGCGAGGTCCCTACGAGCCCTACTGCACTACCTCTCTCGGTTTGATCACGAGTTGCTTGCATGATATGGACAGTCAAGTCCGTTGTAAGATTCGTAGGAGTTTCTTGTGTGATTTCATGTGCTGACTGGTGTTTATCTAGACTTTTCTACAGTGCAACCCGCACCTAGACGCCCTAACAGATGTGTAGATTCGTGGTTGATCGTGGATTCTTATTATTCATTCACCTCTGTAACTGCTCCTGATCTGTTAAATAGTTGCATGAAACCTACCGAGAATAATCTCTCCGCCTCGCTGTAGTGGCCCGTCTGTCCGACATCCTACCTCCCACTATGCTACCCTCATTGTACTGCCCTAAAAATCCGTCTCCTCTGACTGTTCTGCCCTACACATCCCATTCCTTCACTGTTGTGTGCCCTGACCCCCCCCCCATATTGTACTGCCTTAACCAGCCCTCTATATTGTACTGCCCTAACCAGCCCTCCATATTGTATTGCCCTACACATCCCCCGATATTGAACTGCCCTACCCACCCCCTCATATTGTATTGCCCTACCCATCCCCTCATATTGTATTGCCCTACCCATCCCCCATATTGTACTTCCCTACCCATCCCCCATATAGTACTGCCCTACCCATCCCCCGATATTGAACTGCCCTACCCACCCTTGATATTGTATTGCCCTACCCACCCCCCATATTGTACTTCCCTACCCACCCCCTCATATTGTACTTCCCTGCCCATCCCCCATATTGTATTGCCCTACCCATTCCCCATGTAGTACTGCCCTACCCATCCCCCATATAGTACTGCCCTACCCATCCCCCATATTGTACTTCCCTACCCATCCCCCATATTGTACTTCCCTACCCATCCCCCATATTGTACTTCCCTACCCATCCCCCATATTGTACTGCCCTACCCATCCCCATCCCCTTCCCTCGCTGTACTGTCTTGCTGATACCCTTCCTACATGTGAGCACATGAGCACTGCTCCCGGCCATCATCGATTACCTGATCGCCCCACGCCATGTCTCCTGCATCCTCGATCTCAGGTGTGATAGAGAGAAACAGCAGCGACCTATCATCAGTGCCTTCCTCGTCGCTGTGGCGCGAGAAAAAGGAGAAAAACAAGTCCGTAAGCGATCGTCTACGACAGAGCGCAGTTTTCCTGCTTCGACACCCGGCTAGCAAACGCAGGCACGTGGCGAAGCGATGCGCTGATTGCTTGCGTTTGACATGCAAATGTAAAAATTGTAATGGCATTCTGGTGCGCGTATGCAAATTGACTCGCCGGCAACTTTAACAACCTTGCTAATGCGCTTTCAGTTTTATTTATTACGTGATACTGTAAATGTTAATGTATATTATTCCATTTTCCCCCTTAAATGTCGTGCAGTGATTATTCAATACGTAGCATGAATAATAGAAGAGTTTACAATTTGATTTACTGTGATATAAAACCTACAGCATTCCGCTACATTTGAGTGAAATTGTGCTTGTTGTGCATGGTGTATTATTGACCTGGGCGAGAAAAATAACCACGCCTCCCCCCAGACCAGGCTGTACATGTTTATCACGCATGCACATCAAAATGGCGACTTCCCAGCACTTTCTTGCTAAGCATTGCTTTTTAAAACGTCCTATCGCCACAATGATTGGCTGAAGCTGCTTCGTCAATCACACCAGGCAGATAGGTCAAATACCAAGAGGCTAGTACAATAGTTTCAAGAATATTTCAAGTGCCATATTTTGATCAGCTCAAACAAGTTTTGTATAAATAAACTATAAAAGTCATATATCTACCATTATGCCAGTATGGAGTTTTTCAAACGCTTCATGTGCTACATAATGCAAAGATACATGCATCGGTACTCTTTACCTACCTGCTACAGAAAGCTGCTATAGCTTCCACGGTTACTACATCTACTTCTCCTCCCTCTTCCTCCTTTCCTGCACAGAAACATGTATACAATCAGCTATGCTTAACATGTGAACCACACACACAGAGTAACATCACAATTATTAGCCTGGTTAGCTACCTGATACTGCTATCCTACCTAAACACATGTAACATTATATTCCCTCTCCCGAGGACATATCTAAAAGACGTTTTGTGCACAATAAAAGAGGGTCGAATTTTTATTTTTTAGGGCAAGGAAAGTGTTGCCTTGGATTTCGTGAGAAATATACTTAGTTGGTAGGACACCAAGACAAACATTCCCTTCAATGGAGGGACACCGAAACAATTTACTTTTTCCTGGCACATGTAAGAGAGAGGGATACACGTACAACATGGAGCCATGGTAAGGGCACTGGGGCAAACAAAATGAAGTAGCCACAGCGATGTATTGTCATGGATATCGGTAAGATTACGGCGCCATGGCAAGTACGGACACAACCACTGCACTTTCAGTCAACCGCGTGGTGAAATTCAAGCCATGCTGTAACCCAAGCTATCATGTATCATATGTCATCATGTATCATGTATCATGTATCATGTAACCCAAGCTATCATGTAGTGAATAGGCAGGTAAACACAATTCGTCACCCGATGCTCACAGTGTACAGTTTAACACACTAACCGGTTTGCTGCGACAACTTGAAAACAATGGCATGAAAAGAAACTCGCGCAACGTTGTCACGCAACACGACTCGACTGACTTGCCGTAGTAAACAAGCGAGAGAGTTCTTCGGTTCACCTAGCCGATTCCACAGGAGGTTTTACAGAAAGCATGGCACGCAGCCAAACGAGCGTGCACCGTATGTATATATATATATATACGTATTTATATATACCTGTGTATGTATACATGTGTATATGTATGTGTGTATAGGTGTGTGTGTGTGTGCGTGCGTGCGTGCGCATGCATGTACGTACGTATGTATGTATATACGTATGTACGTATGTATGTTTGTATGCACCCTCGCGGGGAGCCCTGGGGGTAGGGGGCACGTACCCATGTGTGGTTCGGGGCTCTTGTCCTCATCCTCTATGTCAAACTCGCTCTCGCGTTCCTCGTACTCCACGTTCTCGTCCAACTCCTTGAAGTCGGGAGCGAACGCCGACCAGTTCTCGACCTGGTTCTGCGCCCACACGGAGACGACGCCGCTCGAGATGGACACGATGATGGGACGCACGGGATGCCACTGTAACAACACAGTCACTGTTACACCCACGCACGCACGCACACACGTACGCACGTACACATGTACACATGTACGCACCCACGCATGACACTATGATGGGATGCACGGGATGCCACTGTAACAACACAGTCACTGTTACACCCACGCACGCACGCACACACGTACGCACGTACACATGTACACATGGACGCACCCACGCATGACACTATGATGGGATGCACGGGGTGCCACTGTAACAACACAGTCACTGTTACACCCACGCACGCACGCACACACGTACGCACGTACACATGTACACATGTACGCACCCACGCATGACACTATGATGGGATGCACGGGGTGCCACTGTAACAACACAGTCACTGTTACACCCACGCACGCACGCACACACGTACGCACGTACACATGTACACATGTACGCACACACGCATGACACTATGATGGGATGCACGGGGTGCCACTGTAACAACACAGTCACTGTTACACCCACGCACGCACGCACACACGTACGTACACATGCACACATGCACGCACACACGCACACACACATGCACACACACACACACACACATGCACACACACACCAACGCACGCACACACGTACGCATGACACGATGATGGGATGCACGGGATGCCACTGTAACAACACGGTCACTGTTACACCCATGCACGCACGCACGCACGCATATGCAGACAAATGCACGCACGCATGCACACGCAAACACATAAAAGCAACATAACAAAGAGAAGAAAAAACACTATGAGCATGTCCAGCTGCAAACATTTCTGCCAGGCATCCTTTTTTTAAGAACGCAATTATTTCCACTCCCGTCGAATTCTCCTAGTCCTAGGGCTCGCACTTTACTGAGAAAAATTAGCCAAGCACTGTCAGCCAGGGGGCCGTTGTCAGAAACAAAATTATTCTTAACATTAGTCTTAACACTAACATTTTCTCGTAGACCGTCGACAGCACTTTGTTTCGTATTGTTATGAGGAAATCTGCTACGATTTTTCATTCAGGTAACTTTGCAGCGTTTCTGTCGACAGTCTAAGAAAAAAATCAATGCTAAGACTAATGTTAAGACTAATTTTGTTTCTGACAACGGGCCCCAGAACGCGAACCATATCTTATTACCACAGATATTTACCGAGCAGGAGGTATAATCCAACCCAACCCACACCCGACGTGCAACAAATTGAGGGTGCAAGATGACCTGTACAGCTACACATCCAACATCCAGCAACTCACAGCAACATTCAGCAACATTCAGCAACTCACAGCAACATCCAGCAACAGTTCTCCTTTGGTGCCATGTAGGATCTTCACCAAGTTACCAATGCTCTTTTCCCAGATGTAGAGAGCGTGCTGACGGGCGGAGCCTGCACAGATGTACTCTCCATCTCCACTGAAAACGCATTTCTTCCACAGAGTCCTGTAATTCACATAGAGAATGTCTGATTGCAAATTGTTAGTTTCTATCGGGAAAAACCGAGTGACAGAACGCCCCTCTGAGAAAGGTCGTTACGGTTTGCTAATGTTTTTTTGGCTTTATGGATCTTTTCGAAAGAACAGGTGCAAGAACTAGCTAACACTATAACCGAAATAAAACGCGTAACTGCAAATAATATCTTCACTTTTCTATAGACAGCATACATAAGATTTAGCCTTATCTATTTTTTATAGCATACATGAGTAGAATTGCATAAAAAATAGATTCATGTATGCTATAAAAAAATAGATAAGGCTAAACCTTATGTATGCTGTCTATAGAAAAGTGAAGATATTATTTGCAGTTACGCGTTTTATTTCGGTTATAGTGTAAAAACTACAACTAGCATACTGGCACATTCCCGATAAATAAACACAATGTCGAGTTTACAGCGTCTACACACAGTAAAAGTATAATAAACACAATACTTAAAATATAATCTAATAGAAACATATTAAATAGGGTGAAACTTCTGAAGTTTTACTACCATGTCCGACACTATATGCGAGGAGATGTAATTTATAAGTGGCTTTTACAGAGCTCTTGTGACTAATGAAATAACTGACGACCGGATGGCAAATAGCGTTATATGGTAACATTTTGCCACCGTTATTGCAGCTTCTGAAATTCATGACTGTGAAAGAGGCCAAAAAGGAAATCATAGAAAACTGAAGTTATTGGAAATGCTATTGTCCTTGGCTCTCAAACAATCGGGTTTATTTGACTTATACTAGATCTTTACGACATGACACAGATTTGTCTGGTTTTACAAACTTTAGAGAGTAGGTTTGCACATTTTTCTTTTGCTAGGTAGCCCTCATTTGGTCAGCATATGCTCAGACATTACAATGATCGTCACGATATCGCTGTCACTTCATTCGAATAGTAAGAATATCCATACGTTCGTAATTAAACTCAGATGAAGCCATATAATATCTACAGGCATTGCAACAGACATATGGGTCTAATCACACGATAATAAATACAACGAAACACACACACACACACACGTGCTTGCAGCCACTTTGAATAAATCCTGTCAAATTTACATAACATAGTTGTTGATTACAGATCAAGAATTATTTCCTGCCCTCCAGCACTTTTCCTGGGATTTTTGCCAATTCAATATTTCCGTGACGCTTGGTGTGTTCGTTAGAGGCTTGCTTGACACATGCCAGCTTTCACGTGTGCATGTGATGCCGAGAAGATAGCAAGGTAAAGAAGGAAATTTTTTTTATAAAATTTGCCTTACGCGAATGCCAGCGTATAAAATATACATAAATGAATATCGCATCAGCACCGTGGCAAACACAGTGACTAGCGCGCGACCATTTCTCAGATGTTCCCACACTACACGCTCGGTGCGAATATTTAGCAGATTTACAAGCGTTTCAATTACTGGTGGCACGACGACGACAGAAATACATGAGAGTATCAGCTGACATTTTTTAATCAGCGCGCCGCATTGATTTCTGGTTCTTCTCCGTGGCTTTGTCTGTTCCATCGCAGCCAGCACTCAGCTGCGGTGGTCGAGTCATCACAGCGGTTGTAATTATGATTTGCCCCACTTACTCAATGCTACACAACGGGAAATTGAGTTCCATTGAAATCCACATAAATTCTGAGAAATGAGCTAGAACGGGAGTGGTGGTGGGGGGAGTCGGCTCTTAAAATTGGAATTCGTTTTTCGACGTCGCGAAGGTTGGGAGATTTGTCTTGAACACAGATTAATACCGTGTCACCTGCGGTGCAACTCATTAAGTTTCAACTGCAGCGACTATAATCCATCTCTATGATGTCGTAGCAATTGTGAGAAGGAACTGATACTATATATATTATGTGTGTACGTGCATGCACGTGTGCGTGCATTAATGCGTGAGGCACTGTACCCGAAGATTTTTACGTAAACGGTACCATATATGAAAATCGTACCATATATGCAAATGAAGAGAACGTGCTATACATATACAGCTGAGCATGTCACAGGAAAATATTCTAACCTGTCAAGAATATTACCAATCAACTAATGGCTCAATCACAAGTGATATTTTGATGTAATGCATTATCCCTTTTTTATCATCTTTTTTCCCAGGGCTGTGTAGGCAAGGACATTTCAACTTAACTATGAAAATGATAAAACTCTAAACCTTTACTAGACTACGGGCAGATTATTCACAATTCCCCTCATGTGTTCATCCCGGGACAAGAGGGACTGCTCAGAAGTACAGCAGTGCACAAATAATATCAAAACAAAATGATAATTCGAACAAAGGCAGTCTGACAAAATGAGTCACAATCACTGCAGCTGATCCATGCAGCTAATCAGCATTATACAGTGATTTTATTCAATTTGTGGAAAAGTAGTCTATCAGGGTAGTACTGAATAGGGTGGAGGAGGCATACAGGAAGTGCTGCTCTCAGACTAAAGATGCAAGGACAACAGATTACGAGTTTAATGTTTCATATATGCAACAAGTGCCGCAGAGCGACAGCGCTCAACTGACGTGTACTGTAGCCGGGTATTCTTCTAATAAACTCACTGGCAACCGAATCAAGTGCGCTCTCCCGCCACCGTGTTCACGCTCAGAGCTATATCTAGGATACTACTAATACAGATCTGAAATCTATGATAGCTAGGCTTTGCTATACCGGTAGTACAGTAATAAAGATACAGCTGTGTAACTTTAATGACTTCGCTATATTAACATGTTATCATGGATATGCATCGAGTGCAAGCGTAGTGGTGGTGGGAGGAGAGTGGGGGGAGGGGGCGGGTGGAGGGGGCTCTAAGTCTAATAGCAAAAGCAGTTGCCGCAAGATGGCGCGTGCAAGTGTCATCAATAATCAAAGATGGCATCACCCTTCGTGCGTGATAACCTCACTCCATTGAGTTGCTGAAATCCTACCAGCTAAAATCCAAGTATATTCAGGCAGGCGAGAATTTCGCTCAGCTGTGAGTTAACACATCTGCATTGCAGGTTGCCAGGCAATAATTATGATTAGAATAGTGCCAGTTCACCCCCATGCATGCGTAATGGGCTGCCCCCATGTTTTTGCCTATCCAGGCAAGCATTCAGGGTTCATTACAGTGTGCTAATACAGGGTGCTACTCAGGTGCTAATACACTGCTTTAGAAAATAATATGATTTAAGGAGCGTAAACCTTGTTCAACAAACATTTGCCTTTGTAATTGAACTGTGCAACTGTAGCCTCACATCCGCAATAGCAAAAGCAGTTCAGTCCTTTGTTAACAGTCAACAAATCCATGTTTAACCCTCCTCTTGAGGGTCAAAAGGTTATCTGACACTTACTCTTCGCATGTCAGCGGAAAGTACATTTTATGGTCCTTTCAATAAAGCCATAAAAATGGTAGGTCACCGCTGAAACAAAAAAGTTTTTCAATCGCTCCGTCAGACCATGTCCTCAGAAAATGTCTAAAATCTGCCCTATGCCCTATTGACCTTTGACCTGTGACCTCCAATTTCGGCACAGTGATGGCTTTTCCTACCATGATGCCATACACCGACTATCACGAGCCTAGGTCGAGCCGTTTAGATTTGTGCTGCAATTCTGCATTTCCTCCCTATACCTTAAGGAGGGAATGTTCCCCCTTCTTTTACACCTCTTTACCTTTGACCTTTGACCCCCAGCTTCAACATCCCAACTCGTTTTCAGATTACCCCCCACGTCCCGACTTTCGAATCCGTACGTCGAGCCGTTTAGATTTGTGCCCAACTGTTGACGGACGGACGGACGGCCGGACGCACGCACGGACAGACCATCATGCGATTCTACAAGCTGCATCTGACTATGTCAGATGAGCTAAAAACCACGAATACATGTACAGACAACTGATCACTGACACGACTATGATATAGAGGAAAAGTTGGTCTAGTAGCGCCACCTATTTATTAGACTTGAATAAATGAGATGCAACTGTCATTGCAGGTATACACTACAAAAACTAAATGATATCCAAGTAAACTAGAAACGAGCAGTTGTCGCCAACTACATGTATCACCCCATGATCTAGTATGAATGGAATATCTCTGTAAGGACGTAGAAGGCAGGTAAAGTTAAATAAGTCACAAAGCCAAAGGTTTGTTAGACAACTGGTCTGCCTTAGATGTGCAAGTATATGGAATCTGGTTAACCTAGGAGGCTGAAGAAGAAATGTAAGTCGATGGTCAAGGTCAAACTAAGGTCAAGGGCAGTGGTGGTTTTGGTATGCGACAGACCTTCTCCCCAAGATGTGTAAGCATACCAAGTTTGGTCGCGCTAGGTCAATTAGGGGCTGAGTTAGAGATCGGAAGGGAAATATAATCAAGGTCAAGGTCAAGGTGAAATAAAGGTCGCAGTCACCTGGTTTTGGTACTCTGCACACCTTCTCCCCAAGATGTGTAAGTATACCAAGTTTGGTAGCGCTAGGTGAATTAGGGGCCGAGTTACAGAGCGGAAGGGAAATATGATCAAGGTCAAAGTAAAGGTGAAATGAAGGTCGCAGTGACCTGGTTTTGGTACTGTGCAAACCTTCTCCCGAAGATGCCAATCGGTTTTGGTGTGGGCGAAGGAGTCATCGTTGCCAGGGTGGAAAATGATCAACTTGGCAGGCACTCGGTCCAGCAGGACCAAGTGGCTCTGAGAAGTTACTGTCCTGGTCATAGGTACTGGTCCAGGATTTCTGTCATAGCAAAGTAATGACTCGGATGTGGGCAAAATAATCAGGCCACAATTAAACAATTTTTTGTTTGCCCTCACCCGAATGAAAGTGTGGTCGGCTTTTTTTTTGAGGGGGTCTTTTTACAAATTCAGCAATGGTGTCTACGTGCTCAGCGGTGTGCTTGTGTGGAGATACCTTTTATGTTCGCCTACAGATTTATATAAGTGTACATTGTACAGTGATACAATATACATATAAAATACTTTTAACAACTTGTGTTCATCAGAGTAAATTGTGCATGATTTTATTTCCAGACACACACGCCGCCCACGCACGCACGCACGCACGGCACACATACGCCGTAATCTGGAAAATAAAAGCATTAAAATAAAAGGAACTTGAATTAAGAATAAAAATATCTTCTTAGCCACATATTAGTCTTTAAAGGAAAATAAAGTTAATCTGTCAGAGTTAGATCCATAATTATAGTTATCTAATATCTAAATTATAATATAGCGATTCCAATTCAGCGAAGTTTTGCTGTCGCCTCTCATACCAGCCGTGCCCGGCCACCCCCAGTACTATGTAATAATGAACATGTATGCCACCTGCGCACGCAGGCTGAAAGTGAAACAACACATAATGCACTCGCTCCTCCCCCCTACTTCAATCAGTGCCGCCCAGCCAGCGGGCACCTACGCAGCCAGGCTGTGCATAGCCCGTCCAGGCTGTGCGACGGATTGTCTATACAGCCTGACACCCTTCCATACAAAAAACCTATCACCTCTGCAGATCGAGATAAATAACTCTGTATATCTCAAATAAAACTATTCCATTACCACCTTTGACTTGCCTTGTTTAAAAATATGAACGTTAACTCACAGTGCTCTGCTTCTAAACTAGAATTTATCTCTTAATTCACGGATTAATCTGCAATCCTCACAGCATATCAACTTTCAAATCAGCTTTACCCCATTTTACGCAGGCACGAAAACCCGAAACGGAATAATAGACTCGCTAGAAAATACTACAGAAATAGTGCGATGGCTCTCACGGCAATTACACACCAAAGCAAGTGAAATGATGTTCAGAAATGTGTGGGCCATTTGTAAAAAACCTTAGATGACATGTTCTCGATGTAGGGGTGGTTTACATAACGACCGCAGATCGTTTAATTTACTTTGTTCGATCCATTGCGGATTTTTAGTCACAGTCGGAATGATAGCAAACATGGTGGCAAATTCATAAATTGGTGCATTCGTCTAAAAAAGTTTGCCTGTAACCCGCGTAAGTACCCAGCGCATCGTAGCGCACTGATGGTTACAAGAAGGTGGACGTTTACTGATTCATTGGTATATCACATGTGTGGTGTTCTTTGGCGATACTTGGAATATAAGCAACTACGTCGTTAGGCTGCAGCGACCGTTTGAGAACGGTATCCTAACCCTAGCGATACCGTTTCTGGAGCTAGGCCTTTGCATAGCTCTAGTACTATAGCCGCGTACAATTGCCGCAGACCTGCCACATTACAAAAACTTTTTAAAAAAATCGGGAGGTCAATAAAAATGGTGTGTCGGCCCTTGGTCGCGGTCCGGTCGGGTGGAGGGCAAACAAACAACATTTTTATTCATGCCTTCAAGTTTGGTAAATTTTTTTATTTCGCTGTGGCGGCGATTTAATCTAGTCGCCCGCCGCGACCAGCTGACACGAAGCGCAAGCAGTCGCCTCCGGTCGATTTTCTAATCGGCACACTGCGACCTGGAGAGACGACCCTAGTTTTCACGCTGGTTCCAATGGTAAAAACATTTTCTAGAAATATTGTAGAAACGCTGTAATTGTAGCTGTTTTCACCGATTGTCATGGATTTGGACACAGGCGCCGAATATAACATGTCCTATTATAATGTATATATTGTCGCTGTGTGCCAAATTTCATGACAATTCGGCGTAAACGTGGCAGAAGTTACAGTTTTAGCATTTTTTTCGCACAAAAATGTTGTTACCAGGCAACGAGACTCCACCCAACAAAAACGATTGCGTCTTCGCTTTACGATAACGACCTTCATGCGAAATGAAGATGATTCGGAGAAAAACCTGCAGCGGCGTAAGGAAATCTCTGGCGGCGGCGGCGCGGCCGAACTCAATTCGGGATACAATTATATTATATATATAACTGCTATAGCAGTAGTGTTATAGCCAAATATTAAATCTACCCGCATTGCCAGACAGTGGTTACTGAAAGTGTTTAACCATCAAGAATAAAAACCGTTTTGCCTGGGAGCCAGAGACAACATTTTGCAATGATCGACAGGAATTCACCACGGACGACTTGCACTAACTAACGTAGAACAGAATACGTACTTGTTAACAAGGTCCTGTAGTTTCTGTATTGGTTCCGGCTCGCCTTCCTTGCCACATGCCAGAACCTCCCCACTCTCATACACGCGAATGATTCGATCAGCTGTATTCACAGAAAGCACCTAGACACACCAGCAGTTGACATCAGTCAAGTTTCAGTGTTATAGAGAGAACAACACGATGTTAGACTCCTTATAATGGCAGTGTTTACTATACAATGTATGCCCCTCCCCTCTCTCTCGCTCTCTCTCTCTCTCTCTCTCTCTCTCTCCCTCTCTCTCTCCTCTCTCCTCTCTCTCTGTCTCTCTCTATCTCCCCGTCTCTCTCTACTCCTTCTCTCCTCTCTCTCGTATCTATCTGCTCTCTCTTTCTCTCCTCTCTCTCTCTCTCCTCTTCCTGCCTCTCTCTTCTTCTCTCTCTCTCTCTCTCTCTCTGCCCCCTCTCTTTCCCCTCCCTCTTCCCTTCTCTATATCTCTCTGTCTTTCTCCCTCCCTCCTCCCCCTCTCTCCTCACCCTCTTCCTCTCCTTCTTTTCACACTCTCTCCATCTTCCTCTCCTGCCCTCTCTCTCTCCCTCTCTTCCTTCCTCCCTCTCTCCCTCTCTGTGTCAGCCTGTCTTTCAATCTCTCTGTACCTCTCTCACTCGCACTCTCTCTTTCCCTCTCTCTCTCCCTCTCTTTGCAATGATGACTACTTACTCTCCTCGCCGTGCAAACTCTATGGACTTGATAGCAGTTGTGTTGGATGTGCCGGTGGTGACACGAAAGGAAGCCACCAGCTTTAGTGTCTGCGTGTTCAGCACTAGTATCTTGCCACGTGCATTGCCCGTGAATATGTTCTTGCCCCGGCGATCAAATGCTGCCACTATGTTCAAATCAGACTGCGCAAATAATGAGTTCAATATTGTAAGCTACACTATGACACAATACAGATGAACATGTCACCTAACAACACAGCTAACTCTGATGATGTAGCACAATTTCATTGAGTGGTATTGGTACTGTTACCATAGCTCATAGACATATAAATATGATTAAGTTATCACTAGATGCATAAGAAATAAAGACATACATACATGCTGAATTATACTATTGAATTTCTATTATAGGTACTAGGGTTCCCCAGTAGATTTCATACCTTACATGTATGAATCAATTACGGTGCAACGGATGCTGGTAGGTATGATTACATTTTAATTGTAGGTACAATCAAGCTTGTATTGTAATTTGTATTCTGTTGTAAACGAAAATGTGTGGTTTTAAATGTGAATACCTCATCGTCTAACGGAAGCACAGAGTGTTTGCCATTAGCATGTACCAGCACAGCTGCATGTTTCATAGGGCACACCAGGAACACGCCACTGTATAAATGAAAGACAACATGAAACAGGTTAAGAAACGTATAATACACAACAGCAGCCATAGCACACAAGCATCTTTCGCCCACATGCACACATAAAACTACTTGTTTTTCCACGACAGCTATTATTCTGATAATCGTGGTTTAATTTCTTGACAATGTACTATTGTTTCGGTCACTAAAGAGCTGTATTAAAAATGAGAAGAAAAATTAATTATGAGACATAGAGAGGAGGTGGCCGTGCTGGCCGTGCTGGTTACCTATCACGTGGGTTGAACTGTACTTTGAGAACAGGTGATGGGAAGCGGTATCGAAAATCGCAGTCCCCACTCTCTACATCCCAAATAGCGACGTTGTTATCTGTTGACGCACTTAATAGCTTGTACCCATCTCTACTCCAACTGCAACAAAAGCACATAGCTACAGCTACATTAATGGCATATTTATACGACACGGTTACACGACGCATCATCCACTGCGTATTTATACGATGTACGCCTAATCCCTTCCGCAATTCACATTTAAATTTTGCCAATATTACTTATGCACTTTCCTGCTGCCGCCATTTGTAGTTCATTAATCTAAAGTGAACAGACAGATGCACGACATATACAAATGGCAACGGATAATTTCTGCGCAGGCAATTTACATTTTAACATCCAACTCAAGCTGTGCAATTTCGCTTGTAGTCATTTATAGTTCGTTTCTCTAAAATTGTTCCTTTTTACATCATGTAAAGACATCCATTACATTTTTTTATATATTACCAGTCTCCTACTGGTCATATAACGAGTGATGCATTGACTACCTTAGGCTGCACACAGGATGCACGTGTGCAGTCACAACTCTGGCAATGCCACGTGTCAGGAAGTCCCATACAACAATCCTTCCATCATTACAACCAACTGCTAGCAGTGTGCCTCGTCGGTTAAACTGACAGCAAAGAGCAATGCTCATGCAGTCTAGGGCACCATCGAAATCCTGTAAATAAGAAGTGCTAACGTGTAAAAATATTCAAAACAAAATGCGAAGCATACATATGCGACAAACACATTTCTGACAAGACGTTGAGCCGATATAATGAAGGCTGATCACAATAGTGCTTATACTCACTGTTTATAATAAATCAAAGGAGAGTATGCTACATCATGCAAATTTAACGATATCAAACCTATCCTTCTCTCTATCAATCCTTGTCTGAATTGTTCACATACAGCACATACAGATGTAATAATTATTTCAAGGCTAAAATTAACGAAGTGACGCATGTTATCCTGCACGTTATCCTCACGTTTTTTGAAGTGATTTCATATAAATCTGCTACTCACCTCTGGGTAGTTTTGCCCGAAAGTTTCTGAAAACAATAAAGAGTGTAATTGGTTTTTTTTCAAATTCTATATTACTCATGGCCATATATGTGTATGTGTATGAATGCGCGTGTACATGTGCACGCACACATGCACTGTAGTGCTAATAATTCCAGTTATATATTTGTATATATGCGTAGATGTAGCCCATAAACTAGTGATGGGAATCGGCTGGAATTTCATAATCGATTATCGGTTTCCCTTAACCGATCGATAATCGATTATAATCGGATAATCGGTTAATAATAGCATAGATTTAATTTAATCTTACTTTGTATATACAATTATACATAGCATTCAATATTATCATGTTTTATGATCATGTAGGCCTATTAACTCTGTGAAGGTTGCTGTATGTATATCAATGTCTGTTCCTATACAGTATTTAATCAATTTAAAAAGAAATGGTTTAAATGCCTTTATTAAAACATTAAAAGTTTTAAACAAACATGATCAAGACATGTTCTTTATTATAGTAAGTAAGTTGTTTGTGTTCTAATAGTGTAGGCTGTGTAGCCGAGTTAATGTCCTGCCAATGGAATATCCTCTCCAACATAATGTAACAAACAATACGGAGAGTAGAATCTCATCTACGGATAACATCTGTGGGACAGTGTCAAACCAAAACAAAGACACTGTCCAATTTGTCCATGTCTATAAGTACACTAGTACCGCTCTGCAATCAGACAGGACCTATGTTAACAGTGATTCATGAAGGTGTCCTCTGGACTACACACTGATGCACTTCTACTTCGCTACCAATACATGTCCATGTTGCGATTTAGTAATTAAAAAAAAAAAAGTATGTATTTTGTATTTTTGATAATCGATTATTTGTTTTCATAATCGATTATCGAATTTGAGACTATAATCGATCGATTTTCGATTATAATCGATCATCGGGACATCACTACCATAAACTGTACATAAACTGTCCCTACTACTACTAGGAATATTTTTTTAGCTCAACTTTTCTACAACAAAATAAATGGTCACAATTTGTCTCTTCCCCACATGATTAATAGTTACTTCTAAGTTCTAGCACAATCGTTCCATAACTTCCATTTATTGACTCAGAATTTTATTTAATCAAGGCAACTTCTACTGCACTATCAAATATGCTAAATTGGAATATCTGGTAATTAACACAGGTTTTCAGTGATCCAAAAGGCTTGTCTTCAGCAGCTGCTACCAAGCAACTTCATTCAGCTTGACAGACATCTAGACAGATTTTCGAAACTGTTGCCAACCGGTTAATTATATAGATTTATCATAAAAAAATAACGTGAAATCCCATTTTAAAGGGAGAGTTTACTCTAGGTTCTAGGGTTATTTTCAGCTATTTTAGGTTGTAATTACGCTACATAAAAAGTTTCATGGTTCAATCACCATTAGAAATATTTTTTAAAAATGTTTTAAAACTAACGACTACAGTTTGATTACAACGACGGTGGCGCCACTCAAAGCGTGCGATCTGATAAGTTGCGCAAAACCACTTTCCAGCCAAGGGCTACAGACCGAGGGTGTTTCTTATTTATTCATTTAAAAGCAAAAGGATTGTAATATCTTATAAACGACATATAGTTTCAGTTATTATATGGATAAATTTGCCCTAAAATGAATATCGTTCGGTTAAATCGCATTTAGGTATAGATATAATTGCACTTTTGTGATTAGCCCTCGGTCTATAACGTGCAAAATAAATGGTCAAATACGCAACTTTTTCGGGGTGGCAGCACGGTCGAGGGTGTCATGGCGCCGTTCAAATTTCGTAGCGTTGATGTGTAATTAATTATAACAATTAAATTAGGTGTTAGGTAACAAATACGTGTGGGTATAGACGATTTGTTATACAGTAAGTACAGTTGTATGCAGTAAAATCCTAGAGGCTACTGTCCCTTTAAATTAGGTATCTGGTAACAAATACGTGTGGGTATAGACGATTTGTTATACAGTAAGTACAGTTGTATGCAGTAAAATCCTAGAGGCTACTGTCTCTTTAAACTTATTCTGGGACTTAGGAACTGTTACAAATAAAAATTAGCCAAAAAGTCCTTATCCAGCTGTTTAGTATGTTAGCTTAAAGGTGAGTGATCAGTTGTCCTGCTTTGCATGGCATCAGTTTTAAGCACGAAAATATGGCAAATTTCCAGTTTGACACATACAAAATTAAAATTAAAAAACCTAATGTCAACAGGGGGCATGTTTGTTGTTTCTTTTACTGATCTCTGTATACTAACCGGATAGTGGTTACCTCATCATGGTTTTATTAGTTTATCACTAGCACAAAAAAATTCTTAACAGCATTGACCGCTATGATCACAATGTACGCAACTGCAGGGTGCGAAATTAATGCGAGTCCGGAGTCAAATACTCCCTGATTTGACATATGCAAGAGTCCGTGTGACTCCCTGAAAATTCTGCTATACTAACTAGTTCGTTCCAGAGTACGGCCTCGAGGAATTACCGTATTTTTTCAGCTAATCTTTAATTTTGAACATCAGACTACGGACTCCCTCTTTTTGAGGGAAGGGAGTCCGCTGGACTCCCTTGTTCAAAAGTTCATTTTTACCCCTGAACTAGTATTCTCAATCAGGAGTTGGCATTACCAAAGGCAACAATAATGATGTACAAGTCAGTAGAATGACCACAGGCATTTAAAACGTTGCGATAATACAATGATGGTAAATAAACACGAAATGTATTTGCTACCAATGTCTTAATGTTTCTCTACTCTCTTTCGCCTATCATTAGTAATAATTTCCTGTAAATACCATTCAAATGCTTCTCTGTAACACACAATTTCACCTCATGCATGCCAGTGTGCACAAAAACAGAAATATAGAGCAGGTGGGAAAGCGTGAGTGCCAAATTCGCACAATTGGCTTGCTTCATTTTGTACCATCACAGCGAAAACACATAAAAAACCACCTCAATTTTGGTATCTACATGTAGCCGAATGCTCATTTGTTTGAATTATCACCCTTCCCATTTGGTACAACTTAATTTACCCAGACAGATCTGGTAAATTCATGAGGAAAACTCCCACTCCACAGTATGTAAATGCTAGCAACTGCCTGTTTATTATCCAAAAGTCTCTAACCGTGCTACTCAAGACAATAGTTTGGCCAATGAATGTCCCGTGTGACATCATTCCTATGAGAATCATGCAAGCTTGGATTGGCAGTCCTCATCTTGGAGCTCTGAAGAAGGGAGCGCTTGAACCCAGAAATTAAGAAACGCTGCACCATTACTTATGTATATACAAGCAGTTGCTCCCATTTACAATGCCGTGGATTAGGAGTTTTCCTCGGGAATTTAACAGATCTCTGGGGGAATAAAGTTGTGCCAAAAAATGCAAGGGAGATAATTTTAAAAAGTGAACATTCTGCTACGCATGGATACTTAGATACCAAAATGGAGGTAGTTATTTGTGTATTTTCACTGTAATGGAATTAAATGAAGTGTTGTGTGAATTTGGCGCTAACGCTTTTCCAACTGTGATCTTCTAAGTTCTATATTTCTGTTGAGTGTTGTTTGTGCACCGCTGCGTGCGTGCGGTGAGAAAAGAGCATTTGAACAGCATTAACGTAGAATTATTAGTCGATAGAGAATACATAAACATTGAAACTTTGAGAGTAAATACATGTCGTGTTTATTTACCATAACTTTTTATTGAAACGACTGTGAGTGTGAGTATGACGTTGAATCCGCGGGAATATTCCGATACTGACTGCGAGTAGTATACTAATTATCTATCACTAATTTAGAGTCCTGGGTACGATAAGTACGATTTGAAAGTTGCGCAGTTCATTGAGTAAACTTACCTAATAATTCTAGATTCATGATTAGACAGTGATTATAGTATTAGCATTTCAATAAATACTTCTTGTTTAGATTTTTACTTTGTCGGCGTGCGGGTAGGTGGCGCGACGAAGGGGATGGTCAATTGTCGTTCATGCCTTTGCGTTTCTTTGCGTTGGGAGAAAGTTGTTACACGTTAGTCTGTGTTTGTTACTTGACCATGTATGAATTTATTTTACATTATTACATCTAATTTGCTGGCTAAGATGGATCAAACTGACCCGAAGGACGAAGAACCAGTGAAGGCTCTGGAGGTATATTGTCAGTACCCTACACTACAGACTGCGGTGTAGTCTGTAGTCTGTAGACAGTAGAGAACGTACAACGCTGGAAACCACACACACCAGACTAGAGTAGATACAATCAAGGATACAAATACAATACTCAATACTCAATGGACAATAGTCAATATGTCAATATCATCTTGTTGGGTACACCCTACTCTTGTTGGGTTACATTATTGTATTTAACACCAGACAGGCAATTGGGCATAATAAAATGATAGTAAAACACAAATTATATTTACTACAAGGTTCCTAATGAAGTAATTTTAATTATGTACTCTCTATCGCCCAGTAATTCAACTTCAATGCTTTTCAAATGTGCCTCTGCAACATACAATCACACCTGCAGTCATGATGCATTACAGTTACCACTAACGATGACGTCGATGGAGGGATCGATAGATTAATCGACAGATGGGTGCTCCAAAAATAATGTGGAATCAGATTAGTCATTCCGTGTACTATCGGAAGCTGGGGAAAACAGAAAACACAAACAGCTGTAACAATCATTAATCTCCCAATTTCATCATGTATGAATGACATTCATGTGTAATTATGATGAAAAACCTGCTGAAGTAGTGAAACTGATGGATATAAAGAAAATGTGTGCAGTCAAAGTAACAATCATGGTCACAATAATGATAAAATGAGGAAATGGTAAAAAGCCGTCAAGGCCGTTTTCGGAAACGTAATTAGCTATGGCATGATAAGTCTAGATTGTTATATATCTGGTGAAGTGAAATGTCATGCAAAAAGTTATGACAGATTTCAATGGTTGCATATTTTTTTGTGAAAATAACGATGTAGGAGTGTTCTAAGACATGATAACCTTACTTTAGACAATTGCTGTTATGCAAGCAATACCAGTAAGTACTGAGGTGGTTGGGAATACAACGATAACGGTCAGAAAGACTGTTTTAAAATTAAATCCGTAATTTAAGTACATATAGCATAAAATTATGAGATATAAATGATCATGTATGGACAAACAAATGATTGATCTGACATCGTAATAAATGTCTTTGTTATATTCAGGACAAGTGGAAATTGTTACCTGCTTTTCTAAAGATAAAGGGTCTTGTAAAACAGCACATAGATTCCTTTAACTATTTCACGAATATCGAGGTATGTATAGAAAGTTTATATTAATAGTTGTTATCATTAATCTGTTCTAGTACTACACATTTTTAATAGACATTCTCTACATATCATTTGAATGCTATTTTTGATGTTGAATAGTGAATACACTATGTTGAACTAGCATGGCTTAAAAGTGTTATATGAATTGTTTTTTAGCTGTTGATACTTTACGTTTAGGTTCATTATTAAATCCTTCTCGCGCCTTCATACGCATAGCGCATAGCTACATGGCGCATAGGGCAGTGCCTATCTCCGTTTCAGTAACCCTGAGGCCCCGCAGCTGCTTTCACAGTAAATGCTACAGTAGGGGGTTAGTCCACTGATAGCACTGCGAGTTAACTTGCCACACTCTATCTCTATTTGCTGAATGCTAAGCAGAGAAGCCGTGTGTACCATTTTTCAAGTCTTTGGTATGACCCGGCCGGGAGTTGAACCCCCGACCTTCCACATACGAGGTTAGGTTATTATACCATTGTGTAATTATGTAATATCTTTTTTACTTCAGATTAAGAAGATTGTAAAAGCCAATGAGAAGGTCACATGTGAAGCTGATCCTAATTTTTATGTCAAGTAAGCTTTATATTCCTTGTATATCTGATTTTGTTGTTTGTAATAGACTCATGGCAATTTTTACTTTTATCATATCCATTTTTTTCCATTATTGCACTATACATGTCTCTGTTTACCATGTTTTGTTAACCTCTACTTTTAACATTTTATATGGAGTATATAATTGTGCAGAATAAATGGCATCCATAATGTTTGTTATATTGTTGTTTCAGGTACCTTGATATCTATGTTGGTATGCCTGATGTGGAGGAAAGTTTCAACATAACAAAGTCTGTTTCCCCGCATGAGGTAAGAATGTGTATATTATATTTTATTTCATTATATCCATTATTTAAGGTTAGCAGCGAGCAATAAAGTTACCTTCATCTTGACAAAGGCAATTGTACCAACTGATGAATTTGTTGTTAACATTTTAGATAAATGGGCCTATCATAGAAGAAATTTAGTGTTATGTTATCATAGATTAAATCCAATGAACCTAGATATAAATTGTTGTCTGTTAACCTTTCGGATTGCTAGCTAAACATGACTGAAGAATGCACATATATATATATAAATATTTATATATATTTCATGCAAATGCTCTATATTCTACACAAAAACTGTTCTTTCAATCCATTCCAGTTGCTCATTTACATAATATACAATAGCCATATATATGGTGACATTGCTTTGCACGCCATGTTATCTATATTTATGTTTTCTGTATAGTCCTACAGACAACATTGAGTAACTATTTTATGTTATGATATTCTCAAGATTTGATTACTTTGTTAATTTCATTAAGTTTGAAAGGCTTTCATAGGAAATTGGATGAAATTAAAATGTGACGTAATTTGATTAATTGGTTTCTTTTATTAAGTGTCGTCTCAGGGACATGACGTATTCAGCTCCAATCACGGTGGATATAGAATACACTAGAGGAAGCCAGCGGATCATTCGTAATAATTTGCCGATCGGAAGGTGAGATGAGAATTATATACACGTGTGATTGTAAGCATATATGATGAATATATATAATGAATTCTGCGGCTTTTTTAAAATTCCAGTACATTCGAGATAGGATGTAACATTTAATATTGTTAATGACATTGGTTATAGTTTATTGTATTCTTTTTATTTTATAATGTATAATATATTGGATTTTAAATACCGTCATATCTAGGTTTATTGCCTCATAAACATCTATATTTAAGACGTACATAGGAACTCCTTTATAAGCTAGAACTGTGATATAGTAATGTTAGGATATATATATAAACCTTTATATCACGTTCGCAGAATGCCAATCATGTTGCGAAGCTCCAACTGTGTGCTGACAGGGAAATCACCAGCGGAGCTTGCGAAACTTCAGGAATGCCCATATGACCCAGGTCTGCACCTGTGTATTATACTACCAGGCGTCGCCTTTCCACGCGGCCGATCGGCCCAGACCCCATAAACAGCCCCGTCTCCGGTGTCCTTGGGGCTTTTTGTTCGGCCCGTCAAATTTTGAGATTCCAAGAATTGAAAACGAAAGTCGAATCAAGAAAAAACACCGGTTGTTATAAATTAATATACCAAATAGTAGAGAATAAGTATAGTAACAATACATATGAATGTAACAGAGCTTTTATTACATAATTCATCAGTTTAAAAAAATCATACGTTTAGATTAATTACATAGTTGCCATTAGTGTTTACCTATTTCTCAGTCATATAATTGTCCCTGAGTTGTAAAAAAACACTGCAGGAATGACTAGTAGAATATGTAAACGATGTGGACACAACAAAGCAGTGTTACCAACTGAGCTTGCTTCTTCAGGTGGATACTTTGTCGTGAAGGGAGTGGAGAAGGTTTGTCTCATTCAGGAGCAGCTGAGTAAGAACAGGATCATCGTTGAATCTGACCGCAAGGGCAATGTCGGTTGCTCTGTGACGAGCTCTACGCATGAGAAAAAGAGTAGAACCAACCTAGTGGTGAAGCAGGGCAGATACTATCTAAAGCACAACACGCTTTCCGAAGTGAGTAGGCTAGATCACAATAGTGTGCGACTGCGTGTGTGCGTGCGTGTGTGCATTTGTGCGAGGGAATATGCATGTCAATGGGCGAATACTTTGGACAGAAATACTGCATTCTGTCCCAGCAGCTAATTTGTAAATAAGTTAATAGCATGAAAAGAAATAACCATAATTCAGTAGTGTTGTTTTCACGTGTGGCCAAGTATGATATTCAGCAATGTTACATGCCTGTAAAATTGTCTTACACTTACAGAATATTCAATTTTTTTTACAAAATTTTACCTGTAGAGTTTCAGTCTTATTACTTTCAAGGACTTTTTCATGAATATGTTTGTGATCTATCCCTTAAGTGCTTCCTTGGAATAGGGTTGTAAGCTGTGATATGTGTTAAATCTTATAGTACTTGTTTATAACAAATCACAGGATATGCCAGTGGTAGTTGTTCTCAAAGCAATGGGCATAGAATCGGAGCAGGAGATCGTACAGATGGTGGGAACAGAGGACAACATCATCTCTGCATTTGCTCAGGCCATAGAGGAGTGCCATAAGCTTCAGGTCTACACACAGACCCAGGTTAGCAGGTTGATACATGTACAGTGTGGTAATCTAGGAAAGTGCATATTACTGTTATTGTAGAATAAGGGCTTCCATTGAGGGGAAGGTCAACCTCGGGGGGGGGGGTTCTTGAAAGGTCAACCTTTTCAGGTTTTTAGGGAAAGGTTAGTGTTAACTTTAAGAAATTTAAGGGCATCTTGGCAAGTTGGAAGTACCCCATGGTAAACATTGCCTTCAATAGAGGGTCATCAATGGAACCTATATTTATTAACACTTTATGTAGGAAAAAGAAGTCTTGAAAATAATTTTAAAACCCACAGCCAGTCCTGATTTCAGAAATTTTATTTTTAGCACATAACCTATACAGGGTTCTCCCCACTGCCCCAAGAATTTCAAAAGGCAAATGTTTATAGATGGATTAGGGAGGAGGTCTGGTAGCCTTATATTGGAGCTCGTGAACGAAATCGGATAGTTGCTGTTGCAAAGTATGTTATCATGTAAATGTTTGAGGCACGATGTGTTTCTGATCATATCCGAATGTCTTGGAGATGTTCACAGACCGTGTGTTGCATCACTACAGGCACTGACGTACATAGGCAACAAGGTACGGCAGCGCAGAGTGTGGGGTTCTAGTGGTGGAAAAAAGAGCAAGACTGAAGAAGCCAGAGAGCTTCTTGCTACAACGATACTCGCACATGTTCCCGTACGTGTAAAAACATTTAGCTAGTTCTATTAAACATATATGCACAGATATGTGTTACCCATATTACCTTGTGTGTGGTATGTAACTATTGACATTCTTGTAATATAAGTTGTAATGACGTGAAGACTTCAACATAGACAAAGCAAAATTTTGCTATTGAGCATGAACATATCTATACTATAATTACTGCTACTATGTGTCTGTGCGTGCATGCGTGTGTGCGTGCGTTCGTTCATGGATGGATTAACACATTCTTGGTTTTAGCTAATATATCAAAAAATATATGGTGTCATTGATAGTTCTTACAGGCATTACATTAGGACGTACAAAAGTTATTTCGTTCTACTTTCCTCTAGGTGGTCGAGTTCAATTTCAAGGTGAAAGCAATCTACGTTGCATTAATGGTGCGGCGCGTCATCCAGACACAGGCAGGTCTGATCAAAATGGATGACAGGGATTACTATGGCAACAAACGACTTGAACTCGCGGGGCAGTTGCTTGCACTTCTGTTCGAAGATCTCTTCAAAAAGTTCAATGCTGAGGTATATATTTTAGTTCCAGCTGTGTTGATGTGATATTCGGGACATAGGGACAGAGGGAGGCAATTTGAAAAGTCATTGGGATGTCGAGTGGTGTGGCGGGGGGGGGGGTCAAAATTATCCTTTATTTGCACAGTTATAGAGGACCTTAAATCAATTGATACTTAATTTTAAGGACCAACTGTCACTTGGTAATCATACTTGTAAGTGTGAGAGATTATAATGCAACACAATTTTTACCTTTAGCTGAAGATGATTGCAGCAAAAACCATACCAAAGCCACGTGCCGCACAGTTTGATATTGTGAAGCACATGAGACAAGATCAGATCACCAATGGACTCGTACAGGCCATCTCAACTGTGAGTATACTTGTGTAATTATCTTAGAGATATAATGGTATCGGCTGATGGAATAGCTGAAAAATATTTGCATGCTGAACATGCCTTAAATCTCATGCTGTTTAGAATGTGAAAAATTGTTATAATTGTAGTTTTGCATAACTAAAAAGGGAAAAATGAAAGTCAGATGGGGATGTCACTATACATATAGTCCCAAACAGACACAAGGCACTGAATTAACTATAAGAGTTACAGTCAAGTCTAGCACGAATACATCTCTAAAGGACCAGACGATGTATGTCGACCTCTTTGACTTACTTACTGTCCCACTGTTACGTCTGTTTACATCTGTTACATCTCTTACGTCTGTTACATCTCTTACGTCTGCTATGTCTGTTACATCTCTTATGTCTGCTACGTCTGTTACATCTGTTACATCTGCTATGTCTCTTACATCTCTTACGTCTGCTATGTCTGTTACATCTCTTATGTCTGCTACGTTTCTTACATCTGTTACATCTGCTATGTCTCTTACATCTCTTACGTCTGCTATGTCTGTTACATCTCTTACGTCTGCTACGTTTCTTACATCTGTTACATCTGCTATGTCTCTTACATCTCTTACATCTGCTATGTCTGCTACGTCTCTTACGTTTGTTACATCTCATACGTCTGCTACATCTCTTACGTTTGTTACATCTCACACGTCTGCTACATCTCTTATGTTTGTTACATCTCATACGTCTGCTACGTCTCTTACGTTTGTTACATCTCATACGTCTGCTACGTCTCTTACGTTTGTTACATCTCATACGTCTGCTACGTCTCTTACGTTTGTTACATCTCATACGTCTGCTACATCTCTTACATCTCTTACATCTCTTACGTCTGCTACATCTAGTGTTACTTGTGTGTTGCAGGGCAACTGGACGGTGAAGCGGTTTAAGATGGAGCGAGCGGGAGTTACACAGGTGCTTAGCAGGCTGTCCTACATCTCCTGTCTGGGCATGATGACGCGAATCAGCAGTCAGGTGAGTGAGTGCTAATCACTCTCATCTCATCGCCTTTACCTGGCCATCGCCTATCGGAAAAGCCTAGGTGGAATTTTGAAATGTCTAGAGTGGGTGTGCGATGAATTTTACCTTTTTCAAATAATAGAAGCAGGTTGAGTTAAACTTAATTGGAAACATCCTTTTCTCTCGTCGAAGGGAAATTTTTTATGCGCTGTCATGTTCCTGGTTCATCAACCACGTATAACAGTCATTGTCATGTGACTGTACATTCGTCTTCACTACTGGCTGCAGTCCTTTGATTTATAGATGCTAATGACACAATTCTGTATCATCACAGTTTGAAAAGACACGCAAAGTTAGTGGTCCCAGGTCCTTGCAGCCGTCACAGTGGGGCATGTTGTGTCCTTCTGACACGCCTGAAGGAGAGGTAAGGCAGTCTTGCTTCATATTCATTCTTATTCTTTGCAATCATTATACATTTTTTAATATAATAACAATAAAACTGTGTTTGAGAATATTGTGGTGACAAAAAACAGTTGCAATCACAGTAATGTTATTTACATGTACATAGTGTTCATACACATGTACACACTATTGTAAGCTAATAATGTGTTTATATGGTCGATCCTGACTATCAAACTTCTGTTACCCAATTTAGTTGCCCAGAGAAAATGATATAACCATGACTACAGTTGTTACGTTTCAATGTGTGCAGGCGTGTGGCTTGGTTAAGAACCTGGCACTGATGACCCATATCACGACAGATATGGAAGAGGGGCCTATCATCAGACTGGCCTTCAATCTCGGAGTGGAGGACATGCACATACTCAGTGGGGAGGAGGTTAGCAACCCAAACGTCTACCTTGTCTTTCTCAATGGTATGTCACTATGATTCATAGCAGGGGTATATCAAGGGGAATGAACTATTCTAAAATGAGGAAGAGTAAAAATGTGCAGCTGGAATCAATGTGGGTGTAGACTATTTAGTTCTGTACACAGTTTGTGAACAGCAGGAATTCTTGCAAACCTTGCCATACATTTAAGTCTGTGTTTCTGAATTGTGATTATGTATAGAAAAAAACGATTAGGGCCAAGGCTAAGTGAACGTTTAAGGTAATTATTAAGTTCATGTTTATTGGGTTATGCATGACAAACCATATCTAGTAAGCCTAGTAAATCTGGACTTTTCTTGTGTTGGCATTTCCTACTCGTTCTGTTAATCTCTTCCTATTTATAATGTACATTTATAGTCGATGCACACGAAATACACACACGTGACCATCTGCAAACTCATGTTTTCGCTAGGTGGTAATTTTCCACGGATTTTATTTTATCGCAGGTAACATTTTGGGAGTGGTACGCAACCACCAGAGACTGGTGAAGACGTTTCGCGTGCTAAGACGTGCAGGATACATCAACGAGTTTGTCTCAATCTACAGCAATCAGGCGCACCACTGCGTGTACATTGCTTCTGATGGTGGCCGTGTTTGCAGGTATAAATCGATGCAGAACCTCGGTTATCGATACCTATTTCAGCTGTTTCGTTTACCTAGGTTGCAAATTACTATCGATTGGTAGGTGTGTGAATTTATGGGTCTACAACCAATGACTATATATATATATATATTTATTTATTTATTTATTTATTTATTAGACTTCCACTTGCAAGGAATATTGATACGCAGGGTGATATTTTTCACCAGGCTATGCAACCTATGAATATATATACCAATATATATATATATATATTTATCAGACTTCCACTTACAAGGAATATTGATACCCAGGTGTGATGTTTTTTACCAGGCCATACATCATCGTACAGAAGCGCAGACCGATGGTGACAAAGAGGCACATTGAGCAGCTGGTGCAGGGCTTGAGGTCCTTTGAGGATTTTCTCGGTGAGGGACTCGTGGAGTACCTGGACGTGAACGAGGAGAACGACTCGAACGTGGCCCTCTACGAGTCGCTGATTACCGGGTGAGCTCTCAGGAGGCGTGAATAGAAAACAAGTTATATGGTGAACTACGTACCTAGTAGTTATATGCTAGGAGATGTCACAGCAGATGTGTATTGATTGCTGGGTGAGCACTTAGGAGGTGCGAATAGAAAATAAGTTATGTGGTAGAGTACCATGTAGTTATATGCTAGGAGATATCACAGCAGATATGTATTGATTACTGGGTGAGTTCTTAGGAGGCATGAATAGAAAATAAGTTATATGCTGAAGTGACATGCAGTTGTATGCTAGGAGATATCACAGCAGATGTGTCGGGAGTGCCTATCAGGAAGAGCACGAGTAACAAATGACATGCTATATTTTTTCTGCTTCTCATATTATGTCATGTGGCCCCAATTTCTATTAAAATGTCATTTATTAACAGTGTTCAACTCCTTGACATACAAAGGTTACATGTAGAATGAATCTGTAGTCAGTAAATACCAAATAAGCGGCTCTACCGGGTAAGTAGGTGCTTCCATCTGGTGGCTGGATTTATTTGGTATGAATGAGAGTATGTTTAATTAATATGAGGCATAGTGCTGATTTTGTGTTTCATCAATTCGTTTGGTATTTCTAGAAATAGTACTCATTTGGAGATAGAACCCTTCACCATCTTGGGTGTGTGTGCTGGATTGATACCTTACCCTCATCACAATCAGTCACCAAGGAACACGTACCAGTGCGCTATGGGAAAGCAAGCTATGGGTGAGCAACTTAGTTCAACTTTTAACAACTGTTAACTTTCGCACAAAGTTATACATCAATAGTGTCACTGTTCAAAATGACTAAAAATTGCATGTCATACACATGAACAGTATAATGTTATGAACTTTTGTAAACAGTATGATGTTCTTTTATATATAGTTTTGGCATGGCATTCTATCACAATCAGTGTGTTATTGTTTATAGGCACCATAGGCTACAATCAGCGTAATAGAATAGACACGCTGTTGTACAATCTGGTGTATCCACAAGCTCCTCTTGTCAAGTCACGGGTAATAACCAACAATATATTTATATATTCGTTTTGGGATCTAATGCTATAAGGCGTGCAGTCCTATACTTTAAAGATATGTTATACACATTTATGATCAGATCAAAAATACTTAAGAGTTCTATCCTGCCCTCGGCAAGGCAGAGTATACCTAGAAAGGTCAGAATAAAGAATTTTCATGGTATATATCCTGCGCTGCACACTATGACAAAATTAATTGACATCAATCTATAAACTACTTGGAGCTTGGAGCTAAATCTAGTTTATTTATACTGATTTTTTCACAAAATCATTTTGCAGACTATTGATATCATAGGATTTGACAAGCTTCCCGCAGGCATGGCAGCTACAGTGGCCGTCATGAGCTACAGCGGCTATGACATTGAAGATGCATTGGTGCTCAACAAGGCTTCCCTTGATAGAGGTGTGTTTTCAACAGTCATTTCGCATCATCAAAGTCTTTCATACCCTTGCATAGCACCGTTATACGGTAATTGCCATGATTTAAAAATGAACATAAATAAATATATATATATACATATACATATATATATGTATATATATATATGTATATAAATATATACATATACATATACATATATATATATATCAATGAGATTCTTCAAAATGCTGTTTATCTGATTTTGCTAGGTTTCGCTCGGTGTCTGGTTTATCGAAAGCAGAACTGTGTGCTGAAGCGATATGCCAACCAAACGTTCGACAGAGTGATGGGCCCACTACTAGACGCTACAACCAAGAAACCAATATGGCGGCACACAGTTCTAGATAGTGATGGAATAGCTGCTCCTGGTTAGTTTAATAAAATTGACATGTAAACCTACAATCGAAAATAATATACTGGCAGGGGGGTGATGAATGCATACTGTAACAATATTATTCAAATTTAAAAGTAGTTCTTAAATGTAAATTTTTTTTTTCGTTTGAGCTGCTGGAAATGAGGAAATGAATGAGTCTTTTCTGTTGTTCAAGCAACATATAATTGTTTATTCGAAAGTCCATAGTATGCTCCCATTCAGTTAATATATTTGTAGTGAGATCTTTTCTCTAGGCTACTGAGCACGTGTGTATATCCTGTTTAATCACTAGCATTTGATGTGCAGGTTTGCGAGCTGAGAGTAAGCAAGTGCTAGTCAACAAGTCGATGCCTACAGTCACAGCCAGTCCACTGCAAACACAGGCAGGGCAGCCTCAGCAGCCCGAGTACAGAGATGTTCCTATTGTGTAAGCGGAGATATGTGCAGAGATTTCAATGATGTTTATAAGATATTATATCAATGCCTGAAAATTTTGTGTGATAGCCTTAGATAGTGACACCTACTAAACTAGAAATGGCCAGTCCTAAAAAGCCAAAAGAATAATCAGACAGGAAAATTTGCTTAGTATTATAGCAGAACAGAATAGCTGGTAAACAAACAGGGATGCACACATCTGTTTTTGCCTGACCTCGTACATAGAATGATGTTTTCTTGAAGAGTAATCTATGCTCAGATCAATCCCATTTTTTGTTCTCCATCAAAGTTTCAAACAATCAATTTGTTACTGAAATCGTTAAACCTCTAGTGATTGGTATTCATAAAATTCGAATTACAGTTATCCTCGTCATGCATTGTTTCCTTTTCATATTTAAGTTGCCTTCACTGTCCGCTCCGCTTCTGTTTTCACCTATGTGCATTGCTGGCCAGGTACAAGGGAGCTGCAGACTCCTACGTGGAAAAGGTGATGATCACGTCGAACAACGAGGAAGCCTTCCTCATCAAGCTGCTGATGAGGCAGACGCGACGACCGGAGATCGGCGACAAGTTCAGTAGCCGGCATGGACAGAAGGGGTGAGACGAATTCTGTAGTCGTCTGTATGCGACCTGTGTAACACGTGTGTTTGCCGTTGTTTAGATCATGCTGTGGTCTGCGGCATTTATGGAAGTCGCATCTTAATTTTTGAACATATCAAGTGTTCATTATGCCTAATACAGTAATACATTCTTCTATACTGTCCATTCCATTTCTGCTTTCACTTACGTTCGTTGCTCGCCATACCATTAAGATGTACCTGATTTCTGGTGACGCGGCTGCAGTAAAGCTTCTCTGGCTGTGTTCTAGTGTATGCGGCCTCATCGCCCAACAAGAGGACATGCCCTTCACCGATTTCGGAATATGCCCGGATATCATCATGAATCCTCATGGCTTCCCCTCTCGCATGACAGTTGGGAAGCTGATCGAACTGCTTGCGGGAAAGGCGGGTGTGCTAGATGGGAAGTTTCACTATGGAACAGGTAATACTCAGTATATATAATAGTAAAGTGTTTAGTTTAATACTCAGTATTAATTAAACAGTATTAATTAATTAATACTCATACTAATTAAACAGGTAATACTCAGTATATATAATAGTAAAGTGTTTAGTTTAATACTCAGTATTAATTAAACAGTATTAATTAATTAATACTCATACTAATTAAACAGGTAATACTCAGTATATATAGTAGTAAAGTGTTTAGTTTAATACTCAGTATTAATTAATTAATACTCATACTAATTAAACAGGTAATACTCAGTATATATAATAGTAAAGTGTTTAGTTTAATACTCAGTATTAATTAATTAATACTCATACTAATTAAACAGGTAATACTCAGTATATATAATAGTAAAGTGTTTAGTT